TTTTTACCAAGACTGCCAAACTGTGCGTTTATTAACAAGAAGACAGACTTTCCCTTCAGTGCTAATTTTGCTGTTGAGAACAAAATGCAAAGTTCAGATTCCCAACTGATCGTAAAGAGGTTTCCGATTCAGGTGCACCATTTCGTGATCAGCGCGCTTTACGTGGAGCCATGTGACTTGAGCCTCAAGACGTCCACGTGTGCAATCCCGAACTACCTGATTCTCTGTTTTATTGTTGGAATGGTCTTGAGCCAGACTGTCCTTTGGATGGATCGCCTAGCTGCCACCATATCGCCACTGCTCTACAGCAAACATGTAAAAATGATTGGAGTGGTACTTTCTATGACCACAGTAAGTTGTTCTTTACACTCAACGATTCCAGTAGTGGACTGTAGGAACAAGTGAAGATCCTACTCATGAAGGAGTCGTTTTATCATGCCATGGTGTCGGAGTAACGTCGTCAAAGTAATGAACCCGAAAAGTTGACAAGTTTTGTCGAAATGATTGATAATGTTTACCCTTCACAGGCCAAGTTTTGGAAGTTTGGCCCAAAACTTCAATTTTGCTAGAAATTTATGACCTTAACTTTCATCCAATTCGTTGGGCTAGTGAAGCGATCCGCAGCCTCAGAGATTGTACCGCTTTCGCGAGCCCACAGCGTGTAACGAAAGCTTTGCAGCTGCGCAATTCGAAGGCCCTTCACCTGCAGCAGCTTCCGCGCCCAGTTCGGTGACGAGATCTGTCAGCGGTTTGAGATAAGGGTCAAGAGCGGAACTGTAGCGGTAACTTGAAGAAACTTATCCCATCGCAAGCGTCACGGCTTCGCCTTGAGAATAGTGATGAAAACTTCTAGACGACGCGAGTTTTCAACTTTCTGGTATCATAACTTTGATAATACAGAAACCAGGAATAAAAACCGAAGGGAGAAGAAGATTTCATCTTAAAATTATCCAGAAAGGTCCATCAGTGGAGGGAACGTTGACGGCGAATTTTTTTCCGCGTCACGGAGAGATGGGATATTGAGGCTTTTTTCGGGCAGCGAGGAAACTCTGGCTTCCGCGCAAGTTGCCGCCTTTCAAAAGGCCAGAACTCTGTTCACACGCAACTTTCTGAGGAGGTTTAGGGAATCGAAATTGCCAAATTGTGTATTAACTTTCTGTTACAGCTCAGTCATCAAGTGGTAAATGCTGCAAATAGTAGGAGTAGAATTTTTTTTACTTCGCTGCGAGGGTGAATATTTCTAGTCATTTCCTCCAGCTCCTTCCAGAACCCACGGAAGGTCTAGAACACGTCTTCTACCCGTAATTATTGTAGCTGATGGGGAGAGGGACTATTAAACTCAGCCATGGGGTGCGCCACGCTTACGACCTCCTTCACATTCCTGTAACACTAGGAATCGTTGAGGAATGAAACAGCTTCCTGAGTCTGATGACAGACTCTCTGCAGTTACGTGCATGTGAAAACACCTTCAGGATGAGATACGTTTTTCGAAGCCATCGCTACAGTTCCGCTGTTGTATATTATCTCGCGCACATCTTGTAGCAGTTCTGAGAAGGTGTGCGCTGCTGATTTCTCCAAATAAGACCCTACTCTTCCCTTTGTGCAACTCACATACGACCCTTCGTGGAGGATTCCTTAGCAGCTGCTAAGCCCTGGAGATACTAGTCTTCCGTAGATCGAGTTCCCGTTCAGGACCAATGAGTCAATCTATCGAAGGAAAAAAATCAAATATAGGAAATGTGAAATTCTGGTCTGATTTTTGAAAATCGGGGCAATGAAGACTACATTGTATCAGATGTTCTTTTGTCTGTTTCGTGCTCGTATCCACTGAGATATCTCGCTGATGATAGGATGTTCCAACTTCTTTTCAGGTCTTTCTGGCGTTTTTGGTTCCATTTATACTGCTCAGAGGAGATCCCTACAATGACTACGTGCTCACGTGTATAATGACTCCCAGAAGGAAGTGCTGCTCAGATAAACGCTCTTTTCTACTCGTTCTGCTGCCTGAACACTGCTGCTGTTTTCGTCAATGTCTGCCTCTTCTTCGCTAACAAAATACGTGAAAGAACGTTAGTATTTTTTTCATTTCATCCACTTCCTTCCACTTGGAACGATTCTATCCTTTATTTTCTGAGCACGAGTCGAGCGCCGTCAGAGCGTCGCCCAAAAAATGCACTTCTGGATTTCATACCTTTATTCTGAAAATGGTCTTAGAAGCAGCTAGCCCCGTGTCCTGGAAGATGATCTCGCGGTCAAGTATTACGAGTAGGCAACGTTCAATTATGAAACAGCAGCCGTTAAAGACACATGGTACGCTCAAACACATTGAGGGTGTATGAGACTATCAGCCCCCAGCTGTCGATGTGTCGTGGTCCCCCGCCCAAAACTGCACGGGGTCAGAGTACGGGGCCGTGGGAAAGTCGTAATTCCTTGCTACACCGCCCGTTTCGCAAACTCACGTTTTTACTAACACCGTCCGCGCGGCGCGGTCGCGTGCAGCTCTCTTGGCTTTCTGCCTTGCCAAGTCCTGTAATTGCGCTCTATGGAATACGAAGTACAACGCAATTTCTTTATGCGGATAACATTTTAAGTGCTGCAAAATAAGAACCGAAGATGATGACAAGGG